GTCAGTGATCCATTGACTATATATATGTCTATGGGTTGATTTCTTGGCTCTCTAATTTGTTTTATTGATCTGTGTCTGTTCTTTCACCAATACCATGCTGTCTTCATTATTATAGCTTTATAATAAGTCTTCAAATTAGATATTGTGAGTCCTCTGACATTGTTTTTCTTCTTCAGTAACGTGCTGTCTGTTGGGTCTTTTTTCTTTCCATGTATACTTTTAAATATATTTGTTAATATCTAAAAAAAGTAGCTTGCTGAGATTTTGACTGGGACTGCATTGAGTCCATGGATCAAATTGGGAAGAATTGGCATCTTAACAATATTGAGTCTTACAACCATGAACATGGTATGTTTCTCCTTTGTTCTCTTTCATCAGAGTTTTGTAGTTTTCTACAGAGATTCTGTATTTATTTAGTTAGATTTGTACCCAAACATTTCATTTCTTTTGTTGCTTCAGTAAATGTTTTTGTGTTTTTTTAAAATTTCAAATTCCAATTGTTTATTGCTGGTATATAGGAAAGCATTTGACTTATTAATCTTGTATTCTGAAGCCTTGTTTTGCATGCTTATTAGTTCTAAGAGTGTCGTGTTTTGTTTTTTCTTTTTTTTTTTTTCTTCTTTTTTCTTTTTGGTGGATTCTTTGGGATTTTCTACATAGACAATGATGTCACCTGTGAACAAAGAAACTTATTTACTTTTTTTGTATTATTGAAGTAGGTAGGACTTCCAGTACAGTGTTGAATAGGAGTAGTGAAAGGAGTAGCTGTTCTTGCCTTGTTTTCAATCTTAAGGGGAAAAGATTCAGTTTCTTACTATTAAATAAGATATTACTTTTAGGTTTGTTATAGATGTTTTTTTCCTCCACTTAAAGAAATCTCCTTCTATTCTTAGTTCACTGAAAGTTATTATGAATGGGTGTTGCAATTTGCCTAATGCTTTTTCTCCTCTCTATCTATATATGGCCATAGGATTTTTCTGCTTTAGCCTTGTTGATGTGGTGTATAACATTGATTTTCTAATACTGAACCAACCTTACATACCTGGAATAAATACCACTTGATTGTGGTGTAATATTCTGTTAACACATAATTGGATTCAATTTGCTAATATTTTTGAGGATTTTTGCATCTTTGTTCATGAAATATATTGATTTGTAGTTTGCCATTTCATAATATCTTTATCCACTTTGGTTATTAGGAGGCTTCATTCTTGTTCCTCCTTGGACC